CTCTTTAAGATGTGTGGACTTCAGCTCCCAGAATTCTTCAACCAGCAAGACTGGCTGTGGAATTTTGGGTGTTGAAGTCTACACATCTTAAAGAGGCCAAGGATGAAAAACACTTTGACCAATGCCAAAGGAATAGTCACAGTTCAAAATACATTGGACTCAGCATATTCAAATGTTTCTTTTCCTGCTAATCAAAGTCCTTTCCATATATTAAAAATATTCCATGTTTTCCTTTCTTTTTTTCATAGGATGCAGATCATGAAGCCCGCATAGAAGAGGCAATAACTCGAACAATGATATGTGCAATCAAAGCTGCAGAAAATCCCAGTGACACAGATTCTTGGCTCAACCCCACAGAGGTTTTTCTCTTCATTTTATCCTCTAAAGTTTTTGTGCATTTTTGCCTGAATGATATCATTGTAATGTTGGCTATCCCTGCCTCAGTTGCATGCAGCAATGATTAGCATCTCCAGAGTGACTAAGCATGAATATCTATGGCTGTTCCGTTTGATCTTAGATTTGGTACCAAGCCAGAAATGTGATATAGGTGCAGACTGAGTACCATATCTTTGTCTGAGATACGGATTTTGCTATTATCACTTTTTGTACGCTATACACAATTGGTGGATATAGCAATCTGAAACAGTAAATGTTTTGGAGTTATTAGATTTTTGGGAGTAATGTAATAAATATTTATACATTGCATGATTTTAGTTCAGCAAGGTTTGTATAATCCGATTTAAAACTTATGAACATTCTGCTATTTAGAAAGCTTAAAATATTGAAAATAAAAGAATAGTAAACATTTCATCAATATTAATCAGCACTTAGGATGTCAGAGTTATAAACATAACTCTATTATGTTTAATTTTTAAACTGTTATGATTTAACTTTTCATCCAAAATTATATAGAAGAATTACTGCGAATCACATCAAAATATTAGTTATTTGATAATAAGATTCAACCACTAGCTCCTCCTCCAATGGGAAATGTAGTTTGTATGTTTGGGAATGCACTTCAATAAGTTCATATATTATTATGATGGTGCAGGGTTTTGTGGGAAAGGAGCACTTGGCCAAGGAGAACTTCAACCCACACCTTCTGATGGACAACTCCATGCAAAATCAAACATGAACATGGAGTTGGTGTTGGTTAGCTATCTCCCAATTTTCCTTCATTGGTGTAATTTGCTGTGGGTATGTATTTCCTTGGGTGCTGCTGTCATTCCATCTCAGTTAATGGGGATGGAAATACTTTTGGGAAGTGCCCAACATGTTCTTTAGTCCTCCCCCAGCTGCCTGTAATAGTTGAGTAAAAGGATTTATGCCTCAACCATAACATGGAAAATTCACTTTTAGGGGAAAGAATAATGTATAATACCTCACTTACTCTTCCTGAGTTTTAAATGGGAAAAAGGGGCTCCAGAAATACATAGTGTCTGCCTAAAGCACAGGGATTTCTGGAAGTCTGACTACTACATTTCAGTTGGTTCCAAGTGCTTTTGCATGCTGGTTCTTACGTTTTGATACCTTTTATTTTTTGTGTTATTTAATTTGAAAGTCTATGAAGATTATTTTTTTAAACTGCTTTATTTTCTGAACTGCTTTGAGTTCATAATTTTAAAAAAGTAGAGATATAAGTGTTATGTAAGGTATAACTCCCCGTGTGTCCAATCACACTTGGCCAATGAAGAATTCTATTCTACTCTACTCTACTCCATTCTTCAAAATAAAAGTGTATGTTCAGCTGAATTCAGCTAGCAGATTGGATTCTCCTCTCTCATGACCTCAGATATGCTTGATTGGATGGGAAGAAGTTAACCTCATGACATGGGATGTAGCACAACATATTTTAAATGAAAGTAATACTGTGTGACTCTAAATATAGTCCTTCTTGTAGGACAAGAGGCAGATTTAGAGATCATCCAGTCATATATTTTCAGAAATAGAGGTCAACCATTTTTTCTTGTTCCAATATTTTTGAGTCTAGCACTGAGATTTTTTTTCAGGCTGCTTGAGACTTGTTCTAAAAGGTAACTTTAAAATTTTAATGAAAAAAAACATTACAATTATTTTTAAGGCCTTATGGTCTTAACATCTAGCCCAGGGGTGTCAAACTGGTGGCCCGCAGGCCACATGCATCACGTGCAGGCCACGCCTACCCAGCTTCGTGAATGGGGAAAACGTTGCAAAACATCACATGACGGAAACATGACATGGCGAGTTTAACACCTGTGATTTTAACTAAAGATTTTTTTTCAAATCCCTCATTTTTTTTCTCCCGCTCAATTTGATGATGAGTTTAGAGCAACTCAAAAACTGATACAATATTTTATAATATTTTGATTTAACCCTATAGAAACACCGCTTAACTGTGAAGTTTACAAAGAAAAAACCAAGGATGTTCCCCCCCCCTCCAAAAAAAGAAATAAATAGAAAGGATGTTAAGCCACTACAGCTTTTCAAATTCAAGGATGGTGAGATAAAAGAGTTAAAGCTGAGAAAAGAGCAGAGATAAACAATATATATGTATGTATCCATGTCTATTTGTATGTCTATGTGCATATATTTAAATCCTCACAAGACAAAGAACAAAGCAAATAAAAATAATGAGACTAGCTTCTGATGGGGAACTGCTTCAAGAAATTGTTAACAGTCATGTAGATATTAGCTTGAATTCTATTTTCTTAATTTTTTTCCCAGGTTAAGGTAACCTCCATTTTCTTTCTTTCTTTTTGCCAGGTTGAGATAACCTCCCATAATACCAACCTTGAGTATTTAAACAAAGCCATGGCTTCCTATTTAGAACATCAGAAGACAAGTGAAATTAAGCACCAGTTCCCTCAAATGGACAGTACTGATGGAATTCTTCAAGAGTCATACAAGAGGAGGAAAGTACAGATCAATACAGAATCTGACTGCATAAAATCTAAACCCTGTGACTCTAGCAGAACAGTAATTGAAACAGAAAAGCTGACAACAATTCCCTTTGGACAGAGTCTTTTTCAGGTTTTACCACAGTCCCAGGAAACTTATTCAATTGGAGTAGCTGAATGTGACAATAAAGACCTTGTCAGTGAAAGTGAGAGGCATTTTGGAAAATTACATCCTACTGGGAAGACCTCTGGGATGACAACTGATTCTGGAACCCTGATGGAGGATCTAGAATGCATGACACCCTTCCCACAAACTCTCATTTCTACAAATGATTTGCTAGATTGTGCACTGAACCCACAAGTCGTGGGTTTAATAGCTCGTCTTTTATTGGAGAAAGTGAACATTATGAATCCATTGAAATAATAATAATGCAATGACAAAATGTACTCTGGAAGGTCCTGAATTTTTGGAGAACTTGAAAATAAGAATTGAAAGGCATTTTAAAAAGTACAAATGTAGACTTCCAAATAGTATAATGGTTAAACCTGTAAAAGGTAACATGGAGCAGATAATACAGTATGAGCATAATGGTGGTATAGACAGTAGCAGTAATCATAATAAATATTTCATCTAAAGTTTTATAGGCTTTCATAATACTGCATCATCTTAGGAACTTTTGAATAGATCTGTCAGGTTAATGGCATTATTGTTCTGACATTAGACATGGGCTTCTGAATCAGAGAGAGATTAGTTTATCTAATCCAAAGGTGATATTGAAAAACTATTTCCAATCAGAAGCTCATGTTCTTACAGAATTAACTCAAAAGGAATGGGTGGGGGGCAGTTACATCTACTTTTCAAGGATTAAGTATTTTTGCTCCAGCCCTCTAATTCCTACATGGCAAAGGGACTCTAGTCTTCCAAAATCTGTGCTATCATAAATGCATTTAATCTTTACCATATACAGTATGTCATCCATTATTTTCCATCTAGTCCATGCAGAAGGATGGGCAAACATTAGTTACAAAGTAGCACATGCAAGGCTGTGTCGTTAGAGCAAGGTTCTTGATTACTGTGAAATGGTTTTCCATGGAAGTCATCCCCCAAACATACTTGCTTGTTGATTAAATTTCCTATATACAAAGCTGTCCTTTCTTAAAGATGGACACCCCAATCTTTTTCAATTCAGTGCCAACCAGATATGTTGTACTACAAAATCCAGCATCCCCTTTTGTAAGAAAAGCTGTAGTAATATGATGTGTGCTACATCTTCTGTACTCATAAAAAAAACCTTCATCATACCATTGTGTAATTTACTGATTATTTTCTTTCTGCTGAAACACTTGTTGATGGACTACAGCTTCACACAAGCTGTAGAAAACTTAACAGATTTCTAGCTTGTCTTTTAAAACAACAGCTGTTAATAATCATAAAATAAAATAATATAATCTTAAAATAAAATAATAAAATAATAGTAATTTAAAACATGAAATTAAGGACCAATACAATGCAAAGCAAAAAAAGGAAGTAAAATATCAACATAATCCCTAAAATCTACCCCTAAACTCAACAATGCTTTAATATGTATACACATATGCAGAAAATGTATTATCCTGTCTAATATTTTGCTTCACTACTAAAATCTGCTTGGCTGGTATCTTTGCAAAACAACTTCCAATTAGTAAATGCACAAAGCACCTAAGATGTAAACACAAGCTTAGGTTTCCCATCTATATCCTCCAAGACTTCCTCTTTGGGTTACCAAGACTTCCCCTTCAGTGCCTTGAGCACTGAAAATCTGAAAATTCTTTCCAAATCTGTGGATTAAACCCATTGATTTGTGACTAGCTTACATTGCTGGAGAAGAGAATTGAAAATCAATAGGCAGGAGAGATCAAGAGATATTTTCATTGCCTGTGCCCACAGCAAAGATTTGTTCCCAAACTATATTGATTGTCCTAAAATATGAATATTGATGCCCACTGAGTTGTTAACGAGCTGTTCTCCTTTGAGTACTAACCAACTGGACAGTGTTTTCAGTAGCATTACCAAACAGGACTGTTCAAAAATGGGTGTAATCCTTTCTTTGCAGTGCTTAAGGCACTGATCCTGTTAATTGTTCAGAAAAGTCATTCAGAGCACCTGATTACAATCCAACATATAGTTTGACTTCCAAATCAATTTTATCATGGTTTGACTTTATTGGAAGACCTGGAAACATATCCCAAGAAAGAATTCCATTCATAGAGTTAAAAAAGATTTTAGTTCAGCTTTATTCCACTTTTAAAGAAGTGATGTTTTGCTTGGTGCTAAATTTGAACTGTTCCCAACTTAAAATAAACTGACAATCTTAACAAGCCAGATTTCACCAATTGATCGTGAAGTTGTCTTATAAGGCTAACCCAGGGGTCAGCATTTTTTTCACACCATGGACTATTAATGACCTCAGAGGTTTGCTACAAAAGCTAAATGCCTACTGAGCTCTTAATTTTTTAAACATCAATAAAACCAAATCTAAAGTGTCAAATATATGAAATAAATGGTGACCCTATTGAACAAGTGCGTTCTTTTGCCTATGCAGGAGTCTTTTTATACCATCACTGGGTCATGGTTAAATCGTTTGAAAAGAAACCCAGCAATTATCTAGCTACCTTATAACCACTATAATGAAAGTATTTAGGATAAAATTAGTCCCAATGCTGACCTGCTGTAAGGTTCAGAATTGTGGGGCTTTAATAAAGCTATCCCACTTAAACAAGTTCAAACCCATTTTTTAAGATGCATACTTGGGACTGGCATGACACATCTGCCACTGGGGTCAGAGCAGAAACAGGTATCCATTCCTTACTTAGTCATTTAATAATTCAATTTTGTACATACCGTTCAATAGACCCAGACAGACTTCCCAAAATATGCTTAACAGATAAGTGTTACCCAACTCCTGAGTCAGCTAACTTTCTAAAGTCATTTCACAACATGGATTTTTCCACCCAGCATCTACTCTCAAGGGCCTCCCGGGCATGGGAAATGTTTAAAATAAAGAGTCCTAAATATTAGTGCTCAAACTGACATAGAATTATTGACTTAAAAATAGATCCCTGGGTTGGTTGGCTAAGAATAAAACTATTCAGCCTGAAAAATACCTGGCATTGAGTCTGACACATATTTTAAGAAAGGCCTATTCTAGAGCAAGATTTGAATTGTCCATGGTCAAATATAAATTATAAATTATTGAATATTCAAAGTTGCTGTAGTTTAACTTTTGTTCCTGCTCTATTGCCATATGGCATTCAGCTTAATGTGTTTATTTAATTTATTTTCAAGTGATCTCCCCATGCCCAAAACCCTGTGGCCTTCCAGATGTTCTGTACTATTATTCTCACCAGCTCCAGCCTGCACAGACTATGGTGAAGTCTGCTGGGAGCGATTGTTTACAACATCTGGAAGGCCACAAGTACTTCAGCCTTACCTAAGATTATTTGATTTTTTTAATATATTCTTTTACAATAAATTAGTTTCATACTTGCATAATCACGACCACAATTATGGTGATTTAAGCAATATTAATCCTAATATGCCTCACCTTCCATTTTGAAAAAATGCTTCTTCCTAGTCGTCCTCAAATAAGTCATCATGCTCCTATTGTTAAACCTGGAATCATTTCTGATGAAGATTTTGACAATACCCTTCCACAAAACATCCTTTTGACCTTTTTAAAGAAACCACCCCAGTTATCATAGGCTAAATTTAAGTTTAATTCTGTTTAAATTATTATTTAATCATTTGTCCAACATCTACAAGTCATCCAACAAATGAAGAATTGATCCAAAAAGGTCACGGCCTATTGCAAAGAGCAACCCAACTTGCAGCTGAATTCATCCTTTTAAATCGTAAGTGCTGAAGCAGCAGACAAACGAATCTGGTCTATTTGTGACCACTTTCCATATTTTAAAAGGGGCTGTCCTATGACATCTTAATTCTTCTCCTGGATGCATCTTCTTCAAATCTTTTCTCTTGGGAGCTGAAGCACATTCACATGAACTCTCAGTAAATTGTTTGCTTTTTGCTTCGAGTAGTTTGACGAATTCTCTTAGAGCGCTATTTAGCTTCTAAAGAGCTATTTGGATGTATATTTTGAGTCTAATGGATTTTGTATAGACTGAATTGAAATGAATTCTAAAAGGTTGTCCTTTAATAGTAAACTATCTTCCATTTTGATAATGACATGGCTTCGTATCTTATTGTGGATTGGTATGAGTTTTCAACCAGAAAAAAAATTAACTGAAATATTTCAAATGCATGCAATGTAACGACTATTAGCAGTGGCAAAGGGAAAAGTTTAAGCTGATTGCTTATTTAGAAGAGTAAGTGAAAAGAGGGAGAGCGAGAGATCAACAAGTATGGTGTTTTTTAGATATTTTATTTAGATATTTTATATCTAAATATATAAGAATTCTTGGCATAGCTTAAGAATGATGAGTTCCAATGTCTATAAAGATTCTCAGTCATCCAGGTCATGGTTGTCCCAAAGGTGCTTTTTTTCTTCAAGAGGCAAGTGGACTTTCTGGTTTTTCTTCAGCTGAAGAAGCTTCATGGATGAGAAACAAAACTTCTTGAAAGAAAACAAAACTTCTTGAAAGAAAAACCAGAAAATCCAGTTGCCTCTTGAAGGGAAAAAAAAAAAAGCACCTTTGGGACGATGAGTTCCAATCCAAGCATACAAAGTAAATAGCCATGTGCTCAATTCCTGCATACCTTTCCACTACTTACCACCCAAGAACAGTAGACACACATCTACTACAATCATCCTCTTTTTTTTTTAACAGAACTTTTTTATTTTTCTTTTAAGAAAAAAAACACAAATATGTCATCATTTGTCAATCATTAAGACATTGAAGTACAATTTTTTTTGTGTGTGTGTGTCCCTCCNAAAGAGAAAAAGAAAGAAAGAAAGAAAGAAAGAAAGAAAGAAAGAAAGAAAGAAAGAAAGAAAGAAAGAAAGAAAGAAAGAAAGAAAGAAAGAAACTCGGTCTCCTAGTTTTTAGCCTGTTGCCTTAACCACTACAACAAACTGCTCTTGGTGCACTATAGTGCATTAATACTTAGTGCATTATATTGCACTAATTTAAGGGAGGTTTGTACTGCTTTAACTGGAGCTACTATCCAGGGGTGAGAGGGATTGACATATGATCTGCATAGACTACATTGCCCATACAGATCACTTCTGTGTTTACAGTGTATTTGTAGTAGGAAAGAAAGGTACAAGTGCTTCTCTTAAATGTTTTCAAGCTATCCTATCCCATGTTATAAAGCATCACCTCGTATATAGGATGCTCAAGTCTGGTTGGAACTTAGCCAGAATTTGGCTTACCAGAAAGCTCTGTTAATTTGTAAATTATAACTTTACATTCTTTCAGGCAGATATGAGTTATCTGATATAAATGTGACATGGCATCATCAGAAACTCAAATGGCCTATTAAGTCTGCACAATGATGGCAATAAATAATAGGAGGAAAGGCAGAGAAAATAGGAAGAGAGAAAGAAGGATTTTTTGAGGGGGGGAAGAGTTTCTGTGGGAAAGTTGCAAGCTACTTATCAAGAGCAAAGGTTGCATCTTGCTATCTCTTTGCTACATCCCTGTTTTCATATGTAAATTCAAGCAAACAAGCCTCACTTCTTCATTCTGCCTCCAGATTGTGGGCCACCAATACCATCATGCAATGAACTTGTTCCTTGTTGCCCCGGGAACTGTTCCTTGCTCCAAGCAATTCAGCTAAATATGAAGGCTTTGCTTTCCAAGGCAGCTCATCTTGATGTAATCCTAAATTAGTCTTTGTATTTCACTGCCTAAAGGCACCCAAGAAAGACATGACACCTTGTAGCATGTAAGAATCAATTATGGAATTCTTGTTTCATCTTTAAAACACTGCATGCTGGTATCCTTCATTAAAGCCAATGCTGTCTTTTTCAGTCTTCTGTTGGTCTGTAATACTGCAATAATATATTAGTGGGCTGGTGATACTGGCAGATGACAGCAGGCTCTCTGGAATTTAGAATAATTTAGTAATAGTTTGCAAGATATTTGTGTTCTAGTAATTTGTGTGTGAAGCAGAGAGTATGTATGTGTTTAAGAACTTAAATTCTTGAGAGATAGAGTTTGGGACATGCCTTTTTGATCTTCCTAAATTAAGATTCTATATATTAGATGATATCCCTCTGGTATAAATTAAGGTTCATAAGTCCCAATTTAACAAGACACTAACGCAATAGAACAACTGCCAATTAGGAAAAATTATATAATTGTTTGATCAGGTGGCTTTTATGGGCATTTTATGAAATTTATTTATTTATTTATTTATTGAATTTATAGGCCACCCAATCCCGGAGGACTCTGGGCGGCTTACAAAGAAAGAAAGAAAAAAGCAAAATAAAAGAATAATTTAAAATTCACAACACGCATACATTCTAATCGGGGCTGGACCTTGACAATAAGGTCA